GCCCCTCAACCCCCCCCCCCCCTCTTTTCCCCCAATCCCTATAGATCACCCATTTATTGTCCACGCCGCACATCGAATTAGCTAGATTCACAACCTTGGTGTGTTTTCAGGTTCGCTTCAGCTCCACTACGAGCAACTAAGCCCCTTCCCCCTCAGCATTCTGCTGCTGCTGTAAAGCCCTGCAAGTTATGTGTTTGATAATTCTATTCTAAAACATTTATTACTTTGGTAAACATATTTCTAGAACCTCTATGAGTGGGCTGTGAAACCTAACCATGGAGCTGGGAGCCGTTAAATAACATTTCTTGTATCAAAGTACAAGAACGTACTTGGAATGAGAGACACGCCCACAGGCGGAGTGATCCAGAACTTGTGGAATAAAAATCCTCTTTTGCGGTAATAAGTAATTGGAGAAACAATTGTTTGCTCCAATGTAAAGGTATGTATTCACCACTCGCTTCAACCCCTTGGGCTATTCAAATAGCTGTTGCTCTTGTTGTTGTTGTGTCTGTTCCCGTTATCGTTGTTGTTGTTTTGTTGTTATTAAATATATTTAAAGTCCCTTTCAACATTGTAATGTTGTCTAAGAGGCCTGACTTCCGAATTCAACCTCCAGCTTCGATAGAGCCAGGCAAAAACAACCAAAGTTGACCAACGCCCTGTTTGAAATTCGAACCAGTGCCATCCCTGAACCAGCATGATACCAACGGAGCTGACGGAGTTCTTTTCAAAAAGGCTGGGTCTCCGATTTAAACAAAATCAATGCAAGCTTGCTAAATGGGCGAAGAGCCACAAAGTTCCCTTTAAAAGAACAATCTATAACATCGCTCGTCCGAACACTTTTTTCCTTTATAACACCAGCATAGCTAACAGTACTCACCACACTCATTGTGTCACCAACGAAAGCCCCAAATGCATGCACACTGGGTTTCTCGGAAATAACCATAGTTTGCAGCTACTTGCTGTAATTTGTTTGCTTTCGATTTCTTTCTTCTAACATTAATAAAAATTATTTGCCACGGAACTCAAAACAATGAGGTTGCGGGTTCAGGACTGGTGTTTGTGGCTCCGCTCGGCCCAACGTTGTGTCCTTGGCAAAGGCACTTTAAACGAATTTTTATCACTTTACCCTGGTGTGAATTTAGTACTCGACAATAAATAGCCAAATATCTCGTCAGTTTGTTAGTATTCCAGTGAGATTGTCTTAGAATGCTATCAGGTTGGCTCGGAGAATAATATATATTGTGAAAGTGCCTTGAACTCTTTTCACACGTTGACAGGTGCTTTGAGAATTATTAAGATCGATTATTATTATTATTATTATTATTATTATTATTATTATTATTATTATTATTATTATTATTATTATTATTATTATTATTATTATTATTATTATTACCTACCAATTTCTTCATAACATAGTATTTGGCTCAAAACAAATATTATTTTTTCATCCCCGTTGAACCAATCCTTGCTATTTGACATTGGTTGGAACAGGAAGTTCAGATTCATCTGCTTGTATGATTTTTAAAATTTTAAATTCATGTCTCTGTGATTTAGTACCATTTAATCAAATCTACAATCTATGACCTACATGATTAGGAAGAAGGTATGAAAATCATTCAAATCAAGTGCGGGGATATCATGAAGGCCTGAGGTAGGGAATGGAGTGCTTCTCGCCCCGGCAAAAGCCACTGTTTTCTGCTGTCGTGAGAATCAATACAATAGAGTTTCAGAGCCTATACAGGATACCTGAATTCAATGGTGCCGCGAGACTGGTTCTTTAAGCAAAGAGAAAGCTTTAATACAGCCTCTCTTAAAAAGAAAACATTACAGACAAAGAAAACAAAACTTTAAATAGAATTCCTTTAGACACAGACAAGGCCGTAAAAGGGAAGACAATTATCATTACTTGAACACACGGAAAACAGGAACAGAGTTGTTGTTCTTTTGTCACATTTTTCATTGATCATTAGTTCGTGTCCTTGCAAAAAAGAAACCACTCGGAAAAGAGCTAGAGAGGAACACATCTCCATTCCCAGTAGTTTAGTTCTCTAGTTTAATTGGAGTGGGGTTTTTTCCCCTTTTGTTCATTAGCTTGTCTGTCTGATATGTATCGAGTACAGAACCGCTACACTGTCTTATGTATTTGGATTAGGCGTCCGTGTCCGATATGACTAGGCTACTGAGTTGGGGTTCAAAACAGCCATTCTCTATTTTAAGAACTGGGTGATTGTCACCTTTTCCCCCTAATCTTTTACCTATTAAAAGAACGGCCAACTCGGATAATGAGGTGTACCTACTGACATGCATATAAATAAGCACACACGAGGTCAGATGAAGGGGGGAAGAGATAGGTCCTG